TTATCGCTGTCTCGGTTTGCATTGTATGTAAAACTGTAACTTATTGGTATCAACATCAACAAAAGCATAACGTTACGTATGGGCCAGTTATTTGTTATCTTGCGCAATTCGTAAAAGTTGACCACATTATTACAAGTTACCCACTCTATAGGTGGCAAGCTAGAAGTAGATTTTACGTTGCCCCTTTTGTAGACGTCACAGCCTAACAACATATCACTGTTTCAGGTAGAGAGACTACTCTTTTACTGGAGTTTTACTACTGATACTGCAATATTAACTGCCGAAAGTGCCTTTCAATTGAAACTCACCGTTTCCCCAAACTCTATCCAATTTCACGCTTATAGTCGTTTTAAAGAACATGTTTTATTTGTAGATATTTGTTTTTTTTTTTCATTTATTTTGGCATCAAACAGTCATGTAAAATAACAATAATTTCACAAACAGTAATGACTAAAAAGACCTACAGTGCCCAAGTTTAGTACAAACAAAGTGTTTTCATGTTTAAACGTGATCAGACAAATATTCATGCAGTAATAAAAAACAAAATGCAAGTGATTGTTGTAACAATATAGAAAAAATAAAAATATAAATATGTTTGTAGGCAATTAATATTCAATTTTCTAACAGAGAAGCTTGCAAACGTAAAGTATCAATTTTTTTATGTTAACTTTATTAATCAAATTGAAAAAGTATGTATATAAGTTTTTTCTGTGCGATTTATTGACTTAGGAGAGTTAATTATTTCTAATGTTCGAATTGAAAGGGCCCTAGAATGTAGAGACGCCTTTGGCCTTAAATTTACAATTTAATACTCATACTTGTATTTAAAAATAAATACAAATATTCTCATTATATAACTAATAGAGTATTAAATATTAAAATCGAATTTCCTCATCAAAACTCCTTGTAGCTTGTAGCAAAAATGCAGATCAGCAGTATCTTTAATGTATAAGTCCGTCTGGTTGTGTAAGCGGATGAAGCTCTCCATTTCAACAGAGTTAACGAATAAATTAATGGTTTAAACAATTGTTAGATTAATTTAAAGATATTTTTTTAATTAGCTTAAGTCAAATTATAGCTACGAAGTCATAACAAAACATTTTCATAGTCTGGGGGCAGCATAAGACAACGAGAAAGATTAGAAACTGAATTCGCTTTATTTTGCAAATACTATTATAGTATTTCTTTTTAAAGGCATCATTATCTTGTCGTAAATACATGTCAAAACAAACTCAAAAAATATGGCAGTGGAAAGGGTCCTGGCCGCATCAATCACGTTCATGAATGTTCATATTTACATTAATGATATTGCATTATGAATGTAAAGTTTATCAAATATTATAGACGTATGGTCATATTATTACTATTGTATTAGCAATAGCTGACTCAGTTAACTGTCTCTAAATTTAGGTATATTTACTTCCGTTAAGGAAATGAACTTTAGACTTTAACAGTTGACTCCGGTAGAATATTCTAACGATAAGTCAATAGTATAATCGTGATTGTATAAGCACTTACATAACAGTTATTATATATTATACCATCTACTTTTTCTTTATATAATTTTATATATGAAAATCTTTTAATTGTGATTGCAATTATAAAAAAATCATATTCTTATTATCTAAATAATTAGTTATATCCCACTGAAATTTATGCCTAGTTTTTTTTTTTATTTCCGCTGTTTCCTTTAAAGCGTTTTATTGACATGACACAGAAAATTACTTTATATTTACAAATATTGTTAACAATTAGATATTAATAAAAATATTAGTTATTGAACAAAATTTAGATCAGAATAAAGATTATTTCATAAGGAATAAAGATTTAGAATTTTTAAAGTACTAATTTATATTATATTTCAATAACGATAAAAACAACTGCAAAATTACCACAACTCGCGATGTACTGGCCGGCCGTCGCAGCTCAATTTGTATGGCTGCGTAGCGAGTTTGTATTTGTAATAGGGCTCTTAATATTTGCCTTAAAATACTACTGCCTGAGACGGTTTTTGTTTAAACCCAAATTACGAGCTAAGCCTCTGCCGGCCACCGCTCTGAGGAAGTCAGTATACCTTGCAATCACATTGGTCTGCCCTATAGGATAATTTTATTTCGGATTTTATCCTGAGCAGGGGTCGGCAACCCATGGCCTTCAAGTTGTTAAGTTTATTTACAAAAACATAATTAGTTTACTGTCGAAACTCTTTAAATCGTGTACTCGATCCATAGTACTTTTACTAAAACACCCATGAAATATACTTCAAAGTTGTTGTTCAAAATCATTATTTTTCAAATAAAATCTTTCAGTGGCTCTCTGAAAAATGTGTAATTCTGTACATTTTAGTAATCAATCGCTGTCATGTTCCACGTTTTGTCGACGTAATGGTTGAATACATCACCTGGTCCACACTATGAGTTAACCAATTAATAATGAGGACGAGGAGATATGACGCAACTTTCCAAATGCTGTCTCTAACTAACTGCAGTATTCGCCTAAAATGTATTCTAGTAAAATGTATTGAGATATCACTCGAAGTTGTCGAGTGATATCTCAACTACAAAGACAGCGATTGGGATGTCATTTATTGAGATTTAAATGCCATTGAGAATTTGAGACGTTGTAAAATTAAAACCCCGAAGTGTTGTTATGTGTACGGTAATGGTACGGTAGGACACAAAATCCCGGAAAGCCAACCTGATAACTGGATAGTTCCTCGAAACTTTGTACACGTTTGGCCAAAGCAGGTGTCATCTGACCATTTCACGGTGTTAAATGGGCCACCCATTGTTACAACCATTGTTATTCCTTAATTGGGCTCGCATTTCGTAACAACATAAAATGCTTATCGAGTCTTCAGCGAAAACTGCTTCCATTGAAACAGTCGCGTTGACATTATTTTGAAGAGCGTTATTTATTCCATGATATAAATATTTTAAGTTCACAAAATTTTGAAATGTAACCTTTAGTACTTTTTAAATTTGTTTCGGTATTCTGACTTGTAAGTAAGGTACTATGAATGACCCTAAAAAGCGCTGTTATTTAACTATCGAAATATAATAGAACCGATTTCAAAGTTAAAAAAAGTGAAAAATAATACTTATTTAAAATCGACTTATTAAAAAATATACTATTACAGTCGGGCAGAGGTCTCCTGTAGATTATTAATAAATTTATAAGTGCCCGTCTTTATTAGCAATGGAACCATACGGCAAGCACTAGCTTTCAAATAAAAAAAAATATCAAAATTGGTCCAGTCAGTAAAAAGTTGTGAGGTAACAAACAGAAAAAATACAGTCGAATCGAGGAACCTCCTTTTTTGAAGTCAATCGAAACAACCCAAATTTCTTGCTTTAGATTTTTATATTTATTTAGTTGTTGTATATTTATTTAAATGTATTAACAATAAGAATGGCTTAATTTAGATTGACGTTTGTTTTTAATCAAAGTCTCTTTTTTAATAAAGTTCTATTTCATTGAGATAACATTGTTATTGCCAAAAAAATATTCGGGAGAAATTTATAAACCTCGAGCTACGGTTGCATGGGGCTCGCTTCCTACAATAGAATTTTAAGACGAATGAACGGACCAGGTAGATATTTTTTTATTATTAAACCTAGTTGATCCTCATAAGTCCATTCACGACTGCTTTGACCGCTCAGCTCTTTGTTCTAAGTGTGTGAATAATTTATTTCCTCGCGAGTTTTCCGACCGTTGGCATTCATTCAAGGTTATTAAAAATAAGGCGTACATATTTTTTTTCAGAGTATCTATTAAAATTATTGTTCCTATTCAAAGAGATAACGAAGACACTTCAATGAAATATAGTTGAATTGCTTATTAAGTGGAATTATTAAACACCACAATTGAAACTATTTATTCGTTACAACTATATTACAAAACTATTTCTGATTACCTACTAGTATTCTTCAAAAGAAAATGTAGGTATTTAAGTTCTGATAAATAACTCATTGTAGAGTCATCTAAATAGGTGCCTCAATATAATCTTAATAAACAACTATTGTTATTATTAAGATGTTTGTTTTATCTCTGTAGTTCAGACGTCTTTGAATATGCATACGATAAAAAAAGGTTTTAAGATCAAATGTCAATCAACTTTGATGAAAAATGTGTAGAGAATGCAACATGGGTTAAAAGCTATAATTAATTAGTTACATGTATTATTGAAAACATTAATTAATCAGTTTCTGTGCTAATAATACGTAAGTAATCTAAAATTAACTTAACGCATTTTATCTGAGTGAACTTGAAGTTTACAGTGGTTGTGTATGGACATTTGTTGCGAGCGGCGGCACAGTGAGTAGCGTAGGTAAATGAGTGTTCTATGTACTGTATGTAGTTAGGTGATGTGTTGTGTGTGTGTGACAGCTGCCGTGTGGCGTTATCGGTCGTCCTTGACACACAGACACCGCGTGCACAACACGCCTTATTGTCACTGCAACCTTGCCGAGACCACGCGATAACGTCGTCGCAGTCGCCGTCGACGCCTCCACGCCACTGCCAAAATATATTTGTGAATGAATGAAAACGATTCAGACACTGCCAGTCTAAAATAGACAGTCGTGAGTACAAAACAGGCGCGTAACCAAAACTTAATTGCGATAGCGAAAGATCTAACATTTTTTGTAATCTGTATTATTTGACCTTAATATCGGCACATGATAACGATTGTGTGGTATTTCACAATAAGAGTGCACGGCCGTTGCAGGACGAAAGTGGGTGGCATCCCGGTGGCGCGACTCTCGTCGTCCGGAAATCCAATTCCCGGATGCGGCTGCGCGGGGGGATCTCGCCGGAAGTTTGGTAAACGAGCACATCCGCTGCCGCCGCCCGCGCCGCAAAATTTGGCACCGCGAGCGCTCTCAGCCCGCTTCCGGCCTCCGCCCCCCCGGACCCCTGGCGTCGTTCGCCCGCGAAAATAGCGGCCAACCGCTCCGTGTACGCGGTTCATTCAGTATGGCCGCCTTCCATTCATAAAAAGGCGAGGCGCGGGTGGCATCGCGGGGCGGGGAGGACGTGGCTCTCCCGCCGGCCCGCACCCGCTGCCGACGCCAGTGCGGAATGTGCCAGCGAACGGAACGGTTGTTTCGTCGGAGCGTAGCGCCAGCGCTCCCGGTTTTCCTTTAAAATGTGTATAAGAATAAGTGCAGTGAATCCGCACGAGTTCGGAACGGTTACGAAAAACGCCGTCGTCGAGATCAGGAGTAGAAATCAACGAAGAACTTCAGCGAGGAAGTGAGTAGCGGCCATATTGCAGTGATAACCGCGCGGCGGGCGGACGAGAATCGAGGCCGGTGCGTGGGCCGCCCCCCGCCCGCGCCAGGTGCCGCTCCGGTCCGCGCCGGTCTTATGAACCTTCCCGTGGATTTGCGCGACTAAAATTCGGTGGTTCTATAGTAATTTTGTGTGTTAGTGAGTCTTCCGGCGCGATGCCGGAGCGGCCCTTCGAGCTACCTGGATGCAGAGCTCTGAGGAGCTCGGTGTTGTGTGTGGGACCATTCGGTCTGAGTGCCCTCGTGTTGCGATTTGTGTAGGAGACGGGTGACCGTGGAACGTCCGTTTCGTAAGTACCGTGACATTCTGAGGTGAAATAACCCAGCTGGGAGAATGATAGTCTTCGAAACAGACGTGGATTAGAATCGATCGGTCCGAACCGTCAACTTTTCAAATTGGTTATGCGTAGATTTGCGTGGGCAGCAATTACACCTATTGCGAAGACATTAAACTAACATGAATGACGAGAGAGAAGATTCGCCGCGCCGCCTGGCGGCGACACACGTGCCCCAGTCGCCGGTACTCAATCACTCTCAACTACCCAGTACTTAAAATCACGACTCTTTCGAGAAAATCAATTCAGACAAGTTTACCATCAAAGTATAAATGTAATGAATCAATCACCCTAAACCACTATGAAGTGAAACTTAAACTATTAGCAACACAACATAAACACAGTGTATACTTTGAAGATTACTAAATGGTGAAATGATCAATCACATCAGAATATTCATCAAAAAGACATAAAAAAGACGATTTTATATAAAGTTATTAAATATTATTACAGCAACCAATGAACGAATTTCGACAAAAGTTGATAACAGTGAACGCAGATAACAAGTTATTGTAAACAATGGCAATATAAACTTTTTGTATCTTGTAACGAACTATTTAGATAACGAGTATATTTAGACAAAACAAAAAAATATCATAAAACTACATCGCTTTAATACATGTTCAGATTTTAATATTGATATTTTGCGCTCATAATGTTGAAATAAATATTGCATTGATAATAAAAAGTATATTATTAACATTCAGTGGATATGATAACATTACGAGTCATACAAAAGGGCATTTTTCAAATACATAAATAAATTAATTTAAATTATAACGGTCGAAGAGTATAGTAAGTTTTACAGGTAAGTAAAATTTACCTGTATAATTGAATATAATCTATGGGAGAGTTAGGAAAACCATAGGCTATTCTATACCCACTATAAAAACGAGCCGGTTTTGTACTTGTGTATTAAGTTAACTCTCTCGACTCGGTATAGGTACGAATACTAGTAACAAAATCTTTGAAACAAGAGTTGTATTAACACAATCTACCTATGTTCATATAATTATACCAGCAGCAAACAAAAACAATTTATCTCATGTTGAAAAAAAAGCATATAGTATCGATTTTACTCGTAACGTAATCGTAAAATATCGATTCTAAACAGATTTGAAACGGAAAAGGATAAATAAAGAGAGTGAATAAGGAGAGGACGTTAATATGATTAACTATTTTACCAAAATCTAATGACTGTCTACTTTGGCACTTGTTGATGTAATTTTTAAGAACATTTGTGAAAGAAAATAAATTATTATTATTATAAAATTTCAAAACTGTCGACATACAAGAAATATACCTGTCAATAAACCGAATTCACTATTTAAGACTATAATGATGAAACCTCTAATAATATTTCACACAAAATAAATTAACTTGAAAGGCAACATCCAGCTTACACTACGTAAGACACTTATAGAAAATAAATAAGGACTTATGGGACTTCTTTGAAACCAGTGAAAATAATAATAATAAAAAAACAACCGGTACTATTATTGAAAGAAAAAGGTTTCGTCCAACAATGGACGGATATCTTCGGGAAGAAGACGAAAACAAACCATATGTTCGAACAACCATACACTGATTCACTGCTTCATTCTTTAGAATGAAAAATGTATTTTTACGATGCTGTTTGAAAGAGCTGGGATTTATTCGACATGAACAAAACATTCTACATTGTTGAGATCGCATGTGTTTGAGCTGTTTTTAGAACTACACGCAAGTAAAACTAAGACAAGACCCGATTTTCGATTTGAATTTGAAAGCATAAAGTAAAAATTGTCACCTAGCTTGAACTTAATGATTCTTGAGACTAACATTCCTTATAAAGTAAGGATATATTGCAGTAAGGCTGTTAAATATTTGGAAATTAATATGACGAAACTCTTAGCGCAGATATATTACAGAAACAGCATACAACAGAAAAATTAAATGCAGCAGAAATATTTCAATTTACGGGAAGTAGAGACCTTTCAAAGAAGGTGATCAGGGTCCGATCTAAGAGAGAGCAAACAGGGTGATTGTCTGTAGTGGCAAAAGTTACGGCTCAATTATTATTTTTGCCCAGTGTTTAAATAGTTAGTTTGGGCCTTGAAGCTGATGACCAACCTTCACCTGTTGGAGAGACACTAAGAAAAAGAAGAAGAAAAATCAGACCTGCGTTTCTTTTTTGATTTCTATAAGTGAATATTCATTATCCTATACAGTACTATTGTATTATTAAAGGATCATAATGAAATAAAACAATTTAATTGCGTGTTCTTTTTTCATCGTCACATTCATTATTTTGTAATATTGACTAATTCTCAAATATTGTCAAATAATACCTAACAAACCTGTATTAAGTCTATACTTCTACACTAATATCATAACCAGGAAATATTTCATTGTTTCTTTGGATTGAATTGAAATCGGTTTTTTGAAATTCTATCACCCTCGGGAAGTTACATCATACACAGATAACATAGGCCATAAAGGAGAGCTAGACGATTCGAAAGCGCTAAAACATTTCGTTTTTATATCTATAAACTTAGCAGAAGGGCCTAATGTTTGAATATTTAATCTATTAAGAAATTATTGGTATAATTGATTCCATGCACTTCCAAAATGGTTCAAATAGAGTTCAATCTTTTTAGCCGTAAAGACTAAAAAACAAATTATTGAAATTATTAATTTCGAAGACACTTAAATAATATAGTATCCTAATGATAAGAAATTAATTTCATACGCGTTTCTAGTCTTTAAGAACTGATAATTCCAACATCCATATAGTTCTCTCTCGTAATCACGAAATTCATATAACTATCAGTGCAATAATTTTTTGAAAATAGGGATGTTTTGAAGTATATAAACGCAATGTCGCTTTATAGTAAAATAAACGTTTATAAATATGTATGGAAATAAGCCTCCATACACAAATAGTTGTACATGAGTAGTTGGTGGAAGTTAGGGACCAAGTTACAAACGTTCAAATGGCATTAAAAGTTTTGATTTTAATATCATTATTGTGACGATTAAATAAATCTTATATGTAGATAACCACGGGTAACCAAAGTCAACAATTCATATTATGAGAACGGATGAGATTGCGAATGAAAGATATGGGATCTTAAAGTATGGTAGAATTTGTTTTTTTTACGACGCAGTTTTTTATCTTCACATAGTCCAGTCCTGCTGTAGATCAGCATATAGGTACATATACTGAGCAGTTCACGCAGCACATCAGTTCGTAGAAGTGTTAAAAAAATATGTGAAGATGTTTGAATATCATTGCAGTGTCATGTGTATATCAGAACAGAAAATTAACGTATTGTTTTTCTTTCTTCAGGTGGGGACGATGAGGGAACAGGAAGGCGACGGCCCGGAGAGCCGTTAGCCGGACTCGATGGATGAGTATGGCGGGCCGGCGGCGCCGCCCCGGCCGCCCAAGCCGGCGGCGCGCGTCCACAGGCCGACGGGCGCGCGCCAGCCCACCGTGTCGCTGCTGCGGCCGCGGCCCGAGGCCGAGCGAGAGCGCAACGCGTACGTGGAGGCCCCACGTCGTGCGCACGCTCCGGTGCCGCATGCCGGCACCGCGCACCTTCCGCTCAAGCCGGTGACGACGCAGCCGGCCGCCGCGCCTGACAAGCGGCGCGCCGGCGCCCTCCCGCCTGACTCGATAGTGTGCGACGCCTGCGGCCGGTGCCGGTGCGAGCAGTGCGCCCGCCCGCGACCGCTGCCGTCGCGGTGGCTGTGCGGCTCGTGCCTTTGCAGCGCTGAGGCGTGCGTGGACTATGCGTCGTGCATGTGCTGCGTGAAGGCGCTGTTCTACCACTGCGGGAGCGGGGAGGAGGAGGCGGGCGAGCCGTGCGCTTGCGGACCCAGGCTGGCGTGCGTGGGGGCCCTGGCGCTGCCGCTGCCGTGCCTGTGCCTGTACTGGCCGCTGCGCGGTTGCGCGGCGGCGGGAGCGGCGGCTTACGCGCGCTGTCGCCGCTCCGGCTGCCGGTGTCCTGAGCCCCCGCCGCGGCTCTCCAGTATTATCTAGTCCAGCGTGCCGCCCGCGCCCTCCGAAGCGCCGTCGAGCGGCGCAGTCGCGTTGTACAAATATTTATTGGCGAGCGGAGCTTCGGACCGCGCGGGGTGGACTCAGGGTGGATCGCCGTGCCCGGTCCGAGTGCCGAGTGGTGTGTGGTGGCGCGGGGCCGACATAGGACGAGTGCCCCGCGTTCACTGAGTGAATCTTCTACGTGTACCTTGTAAATATAGTCGTATAGTGTGAATGTACGTGAACGTGTCGCCCGAACGTCGAAAGTCTCAAATTTTCTTGAGACAGATAACGTGTCATAAGAAAACGTTAACGTTAGTATTTTGGATTCCTCACAAATCCAGAGAAGATTAAGAAATGAGATATAAAACATACTTATTAAGATGTAGATAATTTACCATTTATTTATTAACTGAATTTGTATTTATTTGTAAATAAAACGACAATTATTATTATAAATACGAATGTTTACTACATTATGCTTGTTTTTCTGTTTTCCACTGTCTATAATCAAAAACTCACATAATAAAGTGAAAAAGGTGTCGGTACTAAACCTGAAAACACCAAAGCAAGAGTAACAAAATACCCTGTGTTAGTTAGCAAATCGTCATGGTAAATTGCCATGAGCTTAAAAGTGAAGAACCTTTTTTGGAAATAAAAAAAGTATGTAGTGTTACTTGAATATATATTAACTATCGCTGTGCTTTACTAAGTTAGAAATCTCTACATATAATCTTTAAATACCGCAGCTTGTGTTTATTATATATCCACATGGAAACTTAAGTGACTTTTCTAGTATACTATAGTAAATATTTATCATTATGAACTTCTAATCATGTAGAAAATTGTTAGCGCTCTCATGTTTACACTTAGGAGATTGTAAACTACCTACGTTAAGAGTGCTATACACATACATAAAAAAGGTTGAAATGTAAAACATCGTTCATATGAAAAGTATTCCGGCGTTAGATCCATGGTAATTTTTCTCACTAAAGGTGAAGTTTAAAATAAATTACCTACGTAGTTAATTATCAGATTGTCATTAATTAACTATTTAGTTTATTTTGGATTTCATCCTTATAATGAGAAAAAGGATGTCCGCGATATGACGCCAAGGATATTTTTCTGTGACATCACCCACGTACACAAATGAAACTAGAGGTACAAATTAAAACGACACCTGAGGGACTATTGTATTTGATCTCGAACGAAAATTTGGAATAGTTTTTATAATTTAGTTAAAATCATTGAAGTGAAGATTATCTGTGCACCAAAGGCCATTTCAGATTGTACCTCTTTTGATTCATGATTATCGAAAAATGCGTTATATTGGCATTATGAAAACTTGGTTTTCGGGGAAATATAATAGGCTTTCCGGTTTCACGTTATTTAGTACGAGTAGTAGGTATATAAATAATGCAAGCAGTGATGCGCCGCCGACGCGACGGGAAGCGCGGTAACCATAGTCGCCATCCGGGATATGGCTGGTGCCTTCCTCTTTCCTCCATGAATCATGGTTATAAATGAGTTTGTTTTAATTATATCTTATCTTTAAACAGAAATAGCTTTTTCATTTTTTTTTATATCTTTTCCAAACCGATATCGAATTAACTTCAAATTAAGGAAATCCTATTGATTTAAATTGACTCGTTTAGTTTATTAACGTCTATGTCAGAGGGAAGTGATAAAAACAGAGCTTTTATCAAATGCCTAAAGAATATAATCCAATCACGGAGAATGTTAAAATAACAACCGATTGTAACATTTCCCTAAACAAATTTAGTGATTCGTTTAAATTTCTGATTTAGTTCAGTGAATTTACAGAAAAGTAGATACATACATACGAGAATTTATCTTAGGTCTTATTGAAAATTATATTTGCACTCTTACAATAAAGAAAATATCTAAAAAACCGGCTAAGAGCGACTTGGACTCACGCATGTATGGTTCCATACAGGAAACGAACAAAAATAATCACGTTTGTTGTACGGGAGCCATCTTAAATGTTTATTTTATTATGGTTTTTAGTATTTGTTGTAGCAGCGACAACAGAAATACATCCTCTGAAAATTTTAGCTGTTTAACTTTCACACTTCATGAGATACAGCTTGGTGCCGGTGACAGACAGACAGACAGCGAAGTCTCAGTAATAGGTTTCTCGTCTTACCCCTTCGGTACCGAACCCTAAAAATTTATGATTCGTATCTGACGAAAAAATGTTGGAGTATTCTAACACACTAAATAGGTACACTTACTCCATCAGGTAGATAATAGTAGAAAAAAAAGGCTGGAGAATTTTCACCATTACATCGGTAGTAGTATACTCCTATTAATAAATACTTTCAAGGTATTTATTACTAAGAGCTAAGAAATAGAGTAGAAGAAATTGTAAGCATCCAATCAACTGATATTTCGAATTCAATTAAGATTTTATTAAACTAATAGCCAGTTCCACAAACGTTCATTAAAATTGTCATTAGCTTAAAGCGTCATTACCGATACAAAAATGCCATTTATTAGAACCTTAATGGACGTTTGCGGAACTGACCGTGAAACTCTTTATTGACTGTCACGTGCGAATTGTTGTCACACTTCAACCAATTTCCATGAAACCTTAATAATTATACCCAAAAATTCTATTAGGAATTACGTATTATTTCTAATCTTTTAAAAGGTTAAAGTCGGTTTTGTTTATTGAAAAATAAAAATATAATTTTATAGGGTCAATTTTGTATTCACAATGGGTTCGAGTCCCATCTCCGAGTTTCAGAGACTAAGTGGATTTTTTAAGTATTTTTCATTAAGAATAAATAAAAATATTTTACACATCGAAAGGATTATTACATCGACAATAACTATACAACGCCTTCTTGTTCTTGAAGTTTTACGAGAACATAATGTGTCATAAATAGGTAATGATTAAATGTAATTCATGCCATTTATGTCATTACGTGATAATAAAATGATAAATATACAATAAACGCCTACATACAGCGGGTAACGACTTTGTTTATGATATCTATAGATGTCGATAGATCGAGGTGATGCTGCCCTGATGATGGAGTCGGAAGGGAGCTCTGATCTGTCATAACAAAGACTTTGGTTAGAGGTAACATCTGGGGCTCATAAATGAAAACTTTATGATTAATAACGCGACCTTGTCAACTTTGATTTGTCTGTACTATATATCTGAATAGTCGAAGCAATGTACTAACAAAAGTTGTTAGGAAAAAAATATTTTTTGTCTGCAAAAAGAGAAGTTTTATAAAATGTTGTATTTAAATAGCACATCACAACATAATGGCCTGGACATCAGGTTACCGCAATACGTCAATTTTCTAGATTTGATTTTAAACTTTACTCGCAATACGTATAAAATGAAGTTGAGAAATTTTCATATTCGTATAGTCTGACGTGCCGCTGACTAATAAATAAGTATATAAGTAATTCTATTAGGACAACTTATTTGAATCCTCTTCGAGGAAAAGTTTGATAAAATTTACTCTTTATAATATTAGTAGGATAAAAACCAACAAGTACCTACGTGATCTTTGTATCAAACATAAATTTTGTCAATAGCTCGAAGTGGTAATGTTTAGTATGTGGTGTTTTCACCATGTAACACACGTAGTAGATGCAGAGCGTTCTGGTAGATCGTTTAAACTGGGACAACAGATGTTGACAGCCGTCGAGTTCGTTTGATGGCCGGATGAGGCTTGGTGACGTGATAAAAGGGTATTATAGCTCGCCGGACTTAACACAACGCGTGTACTGTCGACACAAAACTCAATATTAACGTAGAGATACGGTACAGTCACATGAGTAGTAATTCAATATATGCACTCAAATAATGAATCTCAACTAATATTATAAATGCGAAAGTAACTCTATTATGTTCCGCTGTCATGCCTAAGTTACTGAACTGATTTTAAGTTGATAACTTTTTTGAATTGACCTTGGGAAAGTGTATCTATAGGTTACCTTTTATCCCCGTGATTTTAACCCCTTTTTACAAGGGGTTAAAATCGGAACTCGACAAATATCAAAATGGCCAATAAATACTTAAAGGTTTTTGTCATTTAAATTAAAAACCAGATTGAGATTATCCTGTTCGAAATTAGGATTACATATTAGAAATTAGGATTAACCTAGGAAAATATTTGAAAAATCAACAAGTGCAAATATCATCTTTTTAAAACCACCGTATTCTAAGAACAAGTTATTTTTAACTTGAAATAATATTGTATCATATCATACTATGTCCTCCACAAATCAGTATTGTTTTTATCCAGATGAATGAACGAATCGTCATCTCCACTCAAAACATTAGCATTCGTTCGTAAGTTCGGAAATATATTTGTACCTCAGTTTAACAAAAGCCGGTAATAATTTGAGTGAATGATTTAGCGATGACGTCACAAAACTTCCAATGGAAACAATATTAAAATAAGCTTTGTTTAAGAAGGTCATAGTACAAATTAGGTAAGATTAGGAAAAAACTGTGCTTATGACGACGATGGTCGGTTACCAAGTCGAATTCAGAACATCGATGGATCGACTCCGCCTTGGTACTCGAATCAGATTGTTTTTCAAATAGTATACAATATCATTATTAAAATGTGTGCTGTGCACTGTGAATTAAAGAATTACAAAAAAATCATAATTACCTATACACTTTCTTATTTCTTTCAACTTTCTTGTTTTCTGCTTAAAAAAGGGAAGTGCCTATTCCCAATGAGGTCGATATCGACTTTTTGCGATCACAATCGGTTTACCAGGGGAAGACGAGGTCTAAAACTTGAGCCCCTATGAATAATATAGAACATAAGTTCTTATTTTCAAGATACTGTACAACTTAATCCTTTTTAATCTCATCCATCAAATCTAATATCTTTGCAATTTTGATATTCTTTTCTCCAAAGATTAATAACTATCTCAATAATAAACGTATTTTTTTAATTACTCAATTCTATATCTATTTATTTTGTACTTTAGTTTTGATACCTACCCAAATGACCACAAGTTTTTAAATAGTTAACTTAGTATTTAAAACCAATAAGAAAAAAGTACAGAAAGAATGTTTAATGCAATAAAAGTTATAGGAGTTTGAGGTATCAGTTCATTTTGATCCTTTTGCCCAAAATACGTTTGGGAATCTTCTTTACTGTTAGCGCAGGGCAAATGCACCGTATTACTTAAAGCATAGCAATTTGACATTTGTAAGTTATTCACGAACTTCACGCGAGCTCATTTTGAAAGACGTTAAATGAATAATACCTATTTTACTTAATAGAAGGAATAGTCTAAAGCAAGAGTTAGACTCAATTATACCTACTTTAAATATAAATTACAAAGTTTTTACGATATATATTATTATGTTTCTTGATCATTCAAATCAGGCCCGGATCTACGATTTTTTTTGTCCGGGGCAGAAACTTCGAATGGCCGACGATTTTATATTTCCATATTTTAGCAGTGTCCGTATATGACCGTCTCATCGT